CCAATGACCTTGCAAAAGAGTTGCCAGGATTGGATGTCAAGTGATGAAGGTGTGTTGAGGCAGGACCAAACATTGCGCGGGTTAGAGAGTGCGTTTGAAATCACTTCAAAGGAACAAGGAATCTAAAGTGAGCATCTGACAAACAGAACTGCAGTACATCTATAGGACATCTTTCGAAACCTGCATTCAGCTGAGGCATCAGCAGGCTCTTTGCCTGCGGAAATACTATTTTGGGACTGTCACACTGCACGTCAGAACCAAGGGTGACCGTGCTTTCAACCTTTATCAGTGGAAGTGCTACTATGTGTGTAATTGAGGGTCAGTCTGTATTTCAGACGGACAAGTTGACTAGGAGCAAGCTCCTTGCAGGGCAAAAGCGGGGGGTCATCATCCCCTTCGTCCCTTCCAGGGACTGTAATGGGCCAGTGTCGAGATGCAAATGGATGTCAAAAAACAAGAAAGAGCTTGACCACCACAAATGATACTGCTGACACAAACCTGAGATTTTGTTCACTTCTGTGAAAGAAAGGCCACTTCTCACTGCACTTGACTTGCAAGCCCATTCAAACCTGATCCGAGAGAGGTGGGGTCAACTCCTCCGAGGTTTGCCTAAGTGTGAATAGTGTAACACTAAGTTCACCGTTTGGCAGTAGGATTCAGTTGCGTAATATTGGCACCATATCCTGTTGCAAGTCCTGCAGCATTGAGATGCATTGAGGCTCCAGCAATTTGGAAAAGGCTCCAGGCGTTGAACGCCTGCCATACCGCATTGAAGAGAGGTGCCAATAAAGAGCTGCCAAACTCAAAGCTCCAAAGATTGGGGACTTAGACCATCCACCAAAAACATCTGAAAATTATCAATATCATGCGTGACGCCCCCCCACCAGCACCTCTTTGCCATTGGAGGATCCTCCGTGCTGTTGGCCCTGGGACGGCAAAACCGGTATTGCTCATGGCTCATACTTGTCTTGTTTCAAGTGGAAAGACCCTCTGGTCCCATCACGTCAAACCGCTAATAGTCACCAGTGAAGCAAAATGTGTTGGGTCCTTCAGGATGATCTGACCGTTAGGCTAGTAGGGCTCCACACATGCGAGAGAAAACTCCAAGCGATCGCCTGCGACGGCACACATGTGTAAGTCAAATAAATGTCTTGAAGACTCATCCACATCATAAGCTCATGAGCTCATGACCATTGCCGCAGAAACAGAGTTTTTGTTGAGGTTGTGGGATGTCAGATTAAGAAGTGCTTGAACTATCATAGCAATTCTTATTGATCAGTGCAGGTCTTCATGAAGTGTACACTCTGCCAAGATTCGAAATGATGTGCTTCGTAATTCGTATTCCTAGAAATCCCTCCAAGTCTTGAGGTGGTTCACCACACACGAAGCGCCACGCCCCGCACCTAGAGCTTGCAGAGCGGCCTGACACAGTCTGGCTGAGACAAGCGGAATCAAGCAGATTCTTCGTCTTTTCGTCAGATGCCGAAAAGCAGTCCCCAGGCTTCAAGATATGCAAAGACTGGGTAAAATGCGAGACTGCATGAACTTTGTCAGGTGTTACGCAGAGGGTAGGCAAAACGATTGCTGGTGGTTCAAGTCTTCACTGCACCGTTGATGCTACCAGTTGCACCTGTGGCCGATGGGTCCTGGATATTTCCAACGGACCTCAAAACACCCGCGACTTTGCTGCTATGTCTTTGGTGTTCCTCCTCTGTCTTATGATGAGCTTCCACTAATGCTAGAACAAGCTAAGAGTATCAAGGCTTTTCAGGTAGAATTCTTCATATCGAGCTCGAAAAGTCTTGAAAGTCCAAGCTCTGAGGCCCAACTCTTCGGCCAAATCACGGGTAAGTGCACTTCGTAGTGTCAGCAAGACCTATCCCGAGCGATTCGGAAAGGATTTCAAAAATTTTGATCCTCATTGCTGAGATTGAATTGCACACTTGGTAGCCTTGCACGTCTCTGCTGGACCCTTCTTCAGGGGTTGATAGCTGAGTTCCAAAGCTGCCTTGGTACATTTATGAACAATGAACAATGAGTGTGCTACAGGATTAGTGTCAAATGCTTGGCTGACATCATACCATCAAGAGCATTTTGGCCTTCAAGTTTGGAATTCTTTGTTTGTCATCTACAGTACCGTAGCAGTGACCTTAGCTACCCAAACACCTTATGAACGACTCAACATCGGCCTGTCGAGGTACATCCTCGTGCGATGCCAAAGTAATGGCCTTTGCATTCACAGAGACCAAGACTGACATCAGAAGACATATGAGCTGTTATCAGAGTAGTTTATTGCAGCTACGAGTACTGCTTAAACTTTATTACGACCTGCTGAACGCACCGGAAGCTTTTCTGCCACTTTGACCACGCGTGTCACCACTTGGGTGACGGCTGTCTGACCATCCTTTCGTCTCCTTAATGGATCTGCTCGAAACTCCAAGAGCAACCTCATGGGTAAATCCGGGTAAAATGCACAAGAATGAAAAGGACGAAAAGTCACGCAAAACATTTGTCTATTCAGATGATTCAGATGTCCCTCCTCTGGTCCAAGTCGAGACAGCCACTCACAGCTTTGGAAGTCACCTTCTCTTGCAGCCTGCATGCTCAGTACTGCAGCGGTTGCAGCTGTTGACTGGCCAATCAGTTGGTGCTTCTGATGTTTTGCTCCCCACAGCTCTGCGACCCGACATCAATGGATTCGGATGCGTAGGGCGTAGGGCATTGCTGGGGCGTCATAGACTGCATACATTTTGGCCCCAGGGGCATGTTGGTTGGAAAAACTTCATCGCATGGGAGTAATCTGGTAGCATGGGCAACGAAACCCAAAAAGTGAATGCAACACGCTTTTGTCAAAATCTGGCTCCGCAACACAAGAAGCGACGTATCATTGTGGCAGTGTTCATCAGCCTTCCTTCATCTTCAATCCCAAGTATCATCGAACAAACAAGCACGTATATCTTATATAGACATGACATGATTGTAATGGGCCTGCATAAGCAGCGTCTCATGGTCAGTCCCTGGCTGTTCTGGGTCTGCTCCCTCCTGCAGTTGTAGGTGTTCCGGCGTACTGCGTGCGCGGTTCTCATATCATTGTATGAAATGGAAACAATGTAAACTGAAAGTTAAACTTGATCCTCCAGTACCAGTACCTCATCACGATATTGTGATGAGAGGCTTCTGAGCCGGGGTTGTGTAGGAATGTATTGCACATTGTGCTGCAGCTTAATCATAAATACTTCTGACACTCTAGATTTAGGCTTTAACCACGTTGAAAATTACGTTGAATGTCCTAGGTGCATCTTTCCTTCATTTCTTCAATGTTTCTCAACAAACATCGTTTGTGCCACAAACTTCCACATCGTTTGTGTCCCTGGTGTAGCTCCCCTGTCAGGTCCTCCAGCAGTGTCCGCGCAAGGTCAAAGGAGCGAGGCCATTCGCTGGGCGCCTCGGCCATGGGATGCCATGGGATGCCATCGGATGCCACGGACCAAGTGCAACATGCGCCTGTTGCGCAACACAACGCAGAGTCACACAGTCTGTCAGCAGTGAGTCTTGGTTACAGAAGTTTCTGTTCCACTTCAACAACTCTTTGCTACTGCAAAGGAAGAATAGAGGAAATAGTGATGAACAGTGGACATGAATCTGGCTACACAGATTGTGATTTAAAGTGATCTTGTAGTGTCATGATTACCTAATACCAGGCACTGCTACCCGTTGGCATTCCTCTGAGGTCTGCTGCTAAGGCCAACTGCAGCGGTGTCTTGCCAGTGGCATCCAATTCTTGAAGGTCGGCCCCTCAGCTGAATCACATCTTACTGCGTAAGTTATACAAGTTTATGGATTTGATTAATTGTGGTAGTTTTGGTGTCCACGTTTGAGAATTAAAACTTGAAAAAAAGGTGACAATAAGGTGATCGGCTAAACCTGAAAAAAAAAAGTTTAATAAAACTGGCTACATAGGCAGCCAAGAAAACAGTTAAAGTTCTACACCCAGGCACCAGTCATACTGGAAACCCTGCTGTCCTTGGCATGGAGTGCTTCATGCTTTTGCATCACACAGTAGGGGTGCCCAGCTGGCACCCCCCAGCAGCCCACTGCAATTTACAATGTTTCCTGGCTAAATCCTTTTCTTTTGATGTCATTTCTACCGGACACCTCCATTTCTGTTTATTATTTACCAGTATGCTATCTTATTCTTGATGGGCAAACTCTTGTAAACTCCCTATTTTCACCACTCATCACTTATAAGTTCATTTATGAACCCATTTGTATCATAAATCACCTATGAATTATCATGTTTCCAGGTGGAGGCTGGGCAGCAGGAGTCAAGCTAGCGAGGGAGGCGGAGCGCGGGGATGGGGGGATGACAGAGAGGTCAGCAGGGGTGACCCCTTGGGTCAGGAGGCTCCTTTCTTCTACCTTTTCCTTTTCCTTTCCTTTCTCTGGCTTTCCGATTCACCTTTTTGTTCACCTTTTCTCACCCTTTTTCTTCACGTTTTCAGCGAAAAAGGTGAAAAATGTGAAAAAAAAAAAGTGAATAAAAAAGGTGAAAAAAGGGTGAATCGGAAAGCCAGAGAAAGGAAAGCCTCCTGACCGAGACTCCGCATGACACGTCATGGACAAAATGATGTGTTGGTTTGCAATTTAAACCTGTGTGGTAGGCTTGCATGGTTGCTGTCCTCAATGATTTTCCTTATGTTTTTCGTATTCCCAGGTACCTTTTTTTCACCTATATTTTGCCTTTTTGGATTTCAGCACAGCCAAATCACCTTTTTTACAAGTTGTTTTTCACCTTTTAGTCATTTCCTTGTTTTCCTCGAACTACCTACAAGTGAAATTAGAGTGCTGTGAGAATCTGTGAGAACAAGGAAAGACACACAAGTATGCAAAGGGATTGAAAGGATTTGCCAGAACCCAGAAGCGTACACCAGCCTATCACAAGCATCACAGGCTTTGGCTCTGAGACCCTCAGAGTTCTGAGAACCCGGACCCCAACCAATGAGAGCCCGTGCTGTTGCTCTGGCAGACATGCCACCCTGGCGGCCTTGAAGACGCGGGAATCAAAATGTCGTGCAATTGCGTTGCACATCCTTCCTGGATGTGTAATCCTTTCACAGAAGTCTCACTACATCACTTTAAAAGGAAGTCCAAAAGCAGAAGTTTGAGGAGTGATTCGGATCCATTTCCATGCTACTATTTCAATCTATTTCATACAAATCCAGTCTATGATGCACAATACCTACTGTAGCACATTACGAAAATCAGCATGACTGTCACAGTCACGTGCCTGCCAAGTCAAAAAGAACATAGAATTACGTATCGAAATTGTCTTTCTAATCTGAAACTGCACCCGAGCAAAAAGCAGCTGGCATGGCAGGGTCCGAAGCCATTGCAAGAACATCAAGAACATAACTCTACCTTTAAATTTCAGCGACTTCACAGTTAAATTCATTTTGCAGTGCCAGGGTCTTCTTCCCTGGAAGCAGTTACAGTAATTTTTATTTAAGATGATTTCAGCAGGTCTCACTCAAGGCGCCTCCTAAAATGACTAAGATCCCAACCTCGCAAAGCTGCTAAGCCTGGCTGAGGCGAGTTGTAGACGTACTGGTGGAAGACCCAATCCACTTATCATCATGGTATTGCGCTGCATGTTTTTTTTGAGAATTTGGCTGACCCTGGAGATTTCTTACTGGAACTGTACAGCGACCTGCATTTCTGGCGCAGGAGTGCAGAAGGTTGCCGCAGCTTCCTGATCAGCAAGAGCGAGCCGCGCAGACGAGTGACCAAATGCACGAATCTTCGCATCTGATACAAGCGGTGTTGAAAGATGGTGCCAGCTTTTTGTTGATGCTTACTGTGGAAGCCGAGAAACAACGGAATCAAGGGTTGGCTTTGGCTAAAAGGCATCTTGAATCAAGGTTATTCCAAGACTAGCTTTTTGAAAGAGAATTGTTGAAGCCACACTGCAATTGAAGATTTGCTTTGAACAGTAGTGAAGTAGTGAACAGCCAGAGGAGAGTTCTTTGCACAAACTCCGGGTATTGGCGGTATTGGTTTTATTGGTTTGTTCAAATTCCAGAGAATGCGCCCTGCCCCTGTGGCTCGCCTCGTTGCTTGGAGACACAAGTTTCCCCGTCTCCACCAGCCACTTCCAAGGATGCCAACGCTACGCCTCGGGGCAAGGCTCCGCAGTTTCTAAAGAGGACATCTGGACATCGCTGGCTTTTAGCCGACCAGTTTTGGATGATGTCAAGTGGATACAAGGCTAATGGAAGCTAAGCTGTGAACATCTTTTGACAAAGCAATTCAAACATGGGAACTTAGGTGTTGCAACATCAAAATACAGTAAAGGTTCAACGCTAAAGGTGTCTTTGCCTACATCTTTCGGCAAGAAAGAAAGCAGCGACGAATCAATCGAAGTTTGAACAGTTCTCGAATGTTCCTGGATCCATCTCTTTTGCCGAAGGCGGGGCCTAGCGAATGGATGTCATGGGACTTGGCCGCGTCGAGTGCAGCATCCTAGCACAGGCAGAGTGCCGGCATTGCCCGAAGTTGGCCAATCCCACCACTCGCTGGCAGTCCAACTGCAGTTCGACTGTTCCACAGAAAATCTGAAGGTCACTGATTTTATCCGATTTATCCCTTTCCACGATTCGAAGAACTGTAGATTCGGAGATCATCCTCCAACGATTTCCAATGCACCTTTCTAGAATGCTGGACATCTATCTGTGGCAGTCCCGCTGTTTAGCTACTCTGCATGGCAGAAGCATTGCGAATGATTAACATACGTACCAATCCCACGCTCCTCCAGGATTTTCAACACCAAAGTGTAGTCATTGCTGACCTGTTTGCAGTTTCCAGAGGAGAAAGTTGGAGAAAGGCACAAATGAAGAACTGAACTGGCGAGGAGTCACCCCAAGCTTCATATCAACATTGCCTTGCAACAAATTCTCCGGGGAAAACTTCCCAGGCTCTGACCCAGTTTAGGATGACTTCGGCCGCTTCCCTGATTCCTTCTTTGCAGGACCTTTGCGCGAACAGCACGCATAGCTGGCTCTGTAGTCGGATGACGAGAATTTTCTATATAGAAGCAGCTCAACCACCTCTGCAAGATGGACAGGCCGAAAAGGGCCAAGAACCAAAGCCAAGTTGCATTTCCTGCGCTTCATTCAGCACTGCTTGCGTGTCTGCCTATTTCCAGGAAGGAGCACGGCATCGCTGAAATTTCGAGCAGATCGGTCTGGGGCCAGTCTGGGGTACCCAAAAAGAGCTACGGCTTGATGGCTGGCTGGACACCGTGGTTTTTGGTCACAGCATTGCTTTCCAAAGCAGCCTTGGGGCCTATTCCTGCATGGCGAATGCCAAAAATGCCATTAAGAGACTGTCTGAGTTGTTTTTGGAACCGGGTACTTTATTCGTGTTCAAATTGAAGACGAATTGACGCACTGCGAAGGGCCTGGTGCAACAAAAGCAAACGGCCTCAGTGTGGCAGATCCAGTCCATGAAGTGACCAAAAGTCCACAGCTTTTGCCGAGCTGTTTTCTTTTGATCGGGGGGACCTCTGCTCAGGTTAAAGCTTACTCCGCCGCGCTGCACAGTGGCACCATGGCACAAATGCCAGATGTGCCGGCTGTTTTGCTGGACTCAGACACACAGGGACTGAGAACTGCACAAAGTTCAGCGTCTCCATTGCCCAAAGCGAGCTGCAACAGGGAGGACGGCCTCAGATTGCAAGCTGAAATATACTGAAGTATGCTAACATGCATGGAGGAAAGGAGAGGAGTCGAAGCGGGAGAATGGAATCAGAAGGGGCCTGGCTGCAGCTTCAAAAAGATCAAAAAGCGACTCCAGGAGAAGCTTTCTGAGGAATTCCGAACTCGGACTGGGAGCAAGCACCAGAAGTAGGATGCGTCTCTGAACAAATACAAACCCTTGACGTACGGCTATGGATGCTGGGGAACTGGCGCGTTGGCTGCGTCCCCTGCAAGGAACTCTTGGTTTGGATCCGCCTGAGCAGGTCTCTTCTTGTGTCAGGTGTCTCACCGATTTTCGCGGCGTCTCTCGATGTATGGAGCTTCCCCATCCCAAGCCATGCCTTGTGTCGAAGACGTTCTTTCACAACCTAAAGGCACTGATTTGGAAAGCTTGTCAAACTCTGTCGTCAACTTGGAAGAAGTTTGGTGCCATAATTCTATAGTGCAAAAGGCACAAATTCTTTCAAGATTGTTACACGGATCCAAAAAAAATCTAGTATGTATGTATATATATATATAATATATATATATATTAACATTAACTATTAACTGTATTGTAGTCAAGTCCTGCAGTAGTGCTGTCAGCTTCACCGGGGGACCGCACATCAAGCCTTGTTGCTTCCTGAAGCAGGAACAGCCAGGGCATTTCTGGACATACCCAAGCAGGGGCAGTTAGGGAGTCAAGATTCTTGATCTGAAGAAAACCCTTGGCGAATATGGAAAGTAGCTGTCTGGGCAGTGTTCTAGGTGCTTCGGTTGAAGGCACCCTATGGCACCCTATAGCCCCTATAGCTCATTCCTCAGCCCTGTGCCTGGCTGGACAAAGCCCGCTTGAACTCGATTTCAAAGTCCTGTGAAGCACAAGGCTTTCATGTCCAAAGTCCCATAATATTGCCATGTTACCGAATGGGATAAGCCGAATAAGTCCAACATTGCCACATGCCTCGGAAACCTTTGCCAGTATTAATTTGAGATTCAGTCTACAAATATAGTCTATTATAGTCTATAGATGTCTAGAGTATATTAAATATGTGCTACGTGCAACAATTTCAAGTCCTCGCACTCCCTTTTCAAACAATGCATTTGAATGAACTGAGTGCTGATTTCCGCTGCAAAAAACTCTGCTCATGCCACTGCCTCCTGCTTCGACATTGCGCAGCAAATCTCTGCGTGTTGCAACTTGAGCAGAGCCCAACTGACTGTTTTTCTTTTTTAAGTTGCCAGAATCTGGTCTTCAAACCAGTCTTCACCTGGTTTTCGTATTTGAACTGAATCAAAATCTGCCGGTCGATGTGCCATCACTATGCACTTAAGAACGTCTCTTGCAATATGTGGGACATGTGCATAAAAAGAAAGGGAAATGAACTGAACATGTATAAAGAAAGTCACACGAGACTATTACACGGCATTGAAGAAAACACACAGATCTGCAATTGGCCACGGCCATCCAAAGCCAGACAGGCAAGCGAGCACATAGGACAATCAGATTATGTGTGCATCAACTTGTCTCCAGCTGAAGTGAAGGCTATCCAGCGACTTTAAGCAGCTCTGTCGATATCGAAAGCACCTCACCGCTTTCGACATCGAGAAACCCTGCATTGTTGTTGTCTGATCAATGAAACATTCAGCCGACCTGCCGCTAAACATCTCGGACAGTTCACCCCATGGCGAAGCATCAACTGTCGTGTCACTTGGTCACTTGGTCACTGCGGCTGTCCCAGGAGCTCCACTAAGTGTAGCATCCAGCTAAGCCCACACTTTTTTCATCTTTTTTCTCTGCATACTCCACCTCACGCAACGCGCTATTCGACCCTTGGAAGAGGCTCTCACTATCTAAAGATATCTAAACACAAGAAGCCTGCCCTGGGCATTGCTTGGCTGCACTTCAAACGAAAACTGTTGCTTCAAATGTAACATGTGACGTGTCTCAAATCTCAAACCAGTTTTCTCAGCAGAGGTCTCCCTGCAGTGCAGTTGGGCGCTGAGTCTTTGCGGTGTTTATGTAGCTGGTTGTTGTACACATGTTCAGCTGTTTTGTTGGAATGCGAAAGGTTCTCTCTGCTTTTTGTAAGGCCTGAAGTCATTTTTTTTTGCCGCTTGGGCTACGCTCAGTACTGCCGCAAGGAACGCACAGGAATCAAAGGATCCCGGGCCTTAGCAATCGCTGTGCCCTGTCGTGACTATCAATAGACTCCATTGGTAAATTTCCTGTCACTGTCAATCTGAGATAGTTCAAGCGTTTAGAAGCGAAACCAACACTTTGCAGTTCTTGGTGCTGCATGCTCGCGTTCTTCCCTTTGGTGCTTGTTTTAACTTGACGACAAAGAGTAGCCCATACAGGTTGGTCAATGGCCGGCTTCAAAGGTTCCGGCAATGATTTCTCCCTCAGCAGGTCCAACCTTAGGTTTCGGCCGGGTAGCTTTCCTTTCACACAAGTGGAGCATGATGAAGCTACAAAAACATAGAGAACAAGTGGGAACAAGTCAGAACAAGAAGAAGAGGATCTGCCTTGTGAGCAACACATAGGAATGATGCAAATCCTTTGCAGTGACTCAGTTTCCTTGACAGGATTCCAAGTATCAAACCATGTCATCCAAAAAACACATCTAGACTTTGCAAGAGCGGTTTTCAAGAACACTCCTATGAGACCAAAGATGACAAAGGTGTGTTGAGTGTGTTCCGTTGCTTCCCAACCACTCTTCTTGCTGAACAACCGGGACCCTGGCGTTTCGCCACTCTTGCCGGTACCAGCAGTAGTCCATCTTGCTGGTGGGACCTAAACAGCTGCAGGAACTTCCTTCCAAACATCCTCTTCCCGGCCAAGGACGTGAGGCGGACTTTATTCAAGCGTAACTAGTGACACATTTCTATAAAGTGAATAAAGCGCGGTCTATTATCAACACCATATTTGACCATACTGGCAACTTGTACTGAAGAAAAAGTGACACAGGCACACCCACTTCGTCTATTCATGTCTATTCTATTTCCAGTGCGGCTCTTAGAGCTTGCCTATTTCCATCCAGGCGCGCACACCTGTCCAAGTGAAGGCCTTTCGTGCAAACTTCGTGGCCGCCTGCCAAAAGTGGAGCCAGGTGGGGTCACATTGGCCCAAAGTCCTGAAAAGTTTGGCATTTTCATCTTGCGAATGGTCCACTGAGTGGTAAACTATATCTCCATAATTTATCACTCAGCTCCAATTCCGTGATCCATAGTCGGCCGGAGGGACAAGTTCACAGGCGTGTGGATTCGAAATGGGAAAACAGACTTGGCACCGCAAGGCAGTCATACAGTGATGGACTCTTATTCATGATTTGGCAGTGTTGGAAACTTCTGGCCCCTTCATTAATTCCAACCCGACTAAGAATCCATTTGATTTATTGAACTATGTTACTATGTTGAACTAAGCAATAGCAGCAATATCCAATATTATCCAATAAATCAACAAATGTTTGAGACAACGATGTCTTTTGAGACCCGGTTCTCGTAGCCTCGGCTTTGGCCTTCCTCTCATCACCTGGAGGGATCGCACCTGTCCAGGAGAGTAATTTGAGCGAAGTCTACCGATATCATGTAGAAATTTAGTACATGGATTTAATGGATTTGGATGGATTTGGTGTCATGTATTTCACCATGTATTTAGCAGACCTCCCAACAAACAAGCCAAAAACAAGCGTTGTGTGGGTCTTGCCGACGCGGCGTGGCTCGAGCCTCCAACGCTCAGAGTGTCCTTTTTCAAGTCTCGTCGGAGCAGGGATGGCACCTGCGGAGCTCGTACAACTCAGGACCAACCACTGGCCCTCTCTCTACACGCCGCAAAAGCAACAGGTTGTGAAGAAGGACAAGTGATTTTCTTCATTGAATTCATATGAGGATGACCAGCATGGGTGTTGATTCTGCAAATTTAAGGCCAAAGAGGTAGAGCTGGTTTCTTGGTCACAGCCTTTGGATGTCCGAGTACGAGTAGTAGCTGACTTGGTACACACACATAACTCATATCACCTACAGAAACAACACCAACAACCTTTTCAGGGAGCTACCCAGTAAATCAGTCTTGGACTGGACTCATCCGTTCCACCAGGTCCGCTTGGAAACTATATTTTTGTTTCTACCCTGCCACCGGAGGGCACCGCGGCCAGCTGCGGCTCCCATCTACTCTTGTTGTAATACGCAGTCTCTGCCTCAGGTGTTGCGCATCCCAGTGCATCCCATCTCAAGTTGTTTGTGGCTAACAAGTTGAAAGCTCCTTTCAGTGTCCACAAAGATCACAAAGTCCACAAATAACAATAAACTACCTCAACCGACACTGTCGAGCTGCTACAGTTCTTACCCTGGTTGCAGTACTCTGGACAAACGACGTCGCTTGTGCCCTTTCCCATGTCGATGATACAAGCACTTGAGGATCCAACAACACCCGTGGCCGGCTTGAGCTGCCTCGTATGCTTCCAACAAAAGATTTAGGCATAATTAATATCAAGAGTTCAGCTGAAACTTGTATGCTTTTACAAACCATGTCTTGGTGGACATTCATGTAAGAAGAACTAAACAAATGTGTGCACAACTCTTCCAGCTTCTCAGTAAATCCGAGAATTCTCTTGTTTAAAACTTGGCATCCATTCGGCCAGACGGGTAGTCACATGACATCACTGTGACATCACATGACCCCATTCCTCCGCCTGCTGATCTGTGCAACAGTCATGGTGGGCTGGAAGTCCAACGTCAGGATTGGGACCTTTGGCATCTCCTGTTATGACCCCACGGCTGAAATATGCTTAAATTGGAGTGGCTAACCTGGCTATCTTCGTTTCGAACCGGGCGTAGCCGAGAGACAGCTTCAACCGACAAAAGGACAACCATTGGTCAACTAGGCTCTGAAGAATACACGGCAGATTGCAGGATCTAGTAGGCAGCGCCAGAAAGGTTTCGTATTTTCAACGAGGTCCCTCACAAAACTGTCCAGCATGCTTGAAAGACCTGTGACTTGCTCCTGAGCGTAGCTCCCAAAATACAGGACACTTGAGATTGCCACAGCAGAGGATTTTGGGAATAAATTACTTCAATGAAGGCCATTTTTTTCACATTCACTCAAACCATGTAACTTCATCCATCGGACCCCCCCGTCCAAACGAGCTGTTCGAATGAGGCCCCAAAGTGTGACCTCAGCAAAGGCTACGACTACCTGGTGCTTCAGGTTGAACAGCCAAGACCCATTTCAACCCTATTTCAGCATCCACACAGATATGGGAAATTATGACTGCAATCGCTTTGCAATTTACAACTTATAACGCTTTTGAAGCCAGCAATTCAATCATTGACCGAATTGCAGCATGCATCATGCTTGCCCGAGTTTTCCGAGCTACACGCTCTCTCCACACAACTGTGAATGAAATCTAAGTGCGCTGGCTGCAGCTACACTAGTCATGCTTCCATAGGTAATGTCACCGCAAAGACGTCCATAAACACCCCCTGGCTCTCAGCTCACAAAAAAGGTACTGCGATGCCAAGGTGAGCCCTTGCTCTCCTTCCACAATTGTACAGGATCACCGAAATTACTGGTAGATCCAGAGCCCTTCTAGACACGGCAACTCATTCTGAAACAACCAGCCTTGCCAAACGCAGTTGGTCAGACATGAATATTCAGACATTCAGGCATATTCAGACAATAGTTCTCAAAATTTCTCAAACATGTCAGAGCGACTTGTCTGAACGATCACAGGAACTTTCGGAATATCGCCCTTGGCCATGGCCTTTGTCATCAACCGGGCAAGATATAGCCTGCCCCAGGTTACATACAAATTTCAAATGCTTTCTTTCGGCGCATCTCCTTGTAAACCAGGACAGATTCGCAAATTCTGCAAAAAATCTGCAAATTGAAGCCCAAGACAGACCATCCGAACACCCCAAGCTGCAAGAACCGATCATGTGATGACAACAATGACCACATTTCTCTCTCCACGACCGTCACCGTCGCCGCCCTGCTCAGCCCTGCTCAGCCCTGCTCAGCCCCGCACACCAATGAGGTCCATCAGCTCCAGGCACATCTGCGTCGTGCAGTTCTCGGACCTTGAAGCGGCCCACGGCGGTATGTCAACACAGCCAACACATGTCCCAAACTGTCCCAACCAGGCTAACATATCTGACATATCCTAACCTTTTTGTACTTTGCAAAACAATATCAAGACTACAGAGAAATCAATCAATATGCAAGAATTGCAAAGAGTCTCGTGAAGCTCCATCAGGAACTTTCGACCCACAAGTCCATGCGATAAGTTTCTTCGCCCTTTCTAGCAATGACTGAGCAGCTCACATAGCAGCTCCAAAGATCACACATTGAGAAGGTGGTCTCTCATCCGCTTCCTATCGAACGGACGTGAGGCAGCAAGACTTCAATGGTCAACACTGGTGAAACATGGTGAAACATGGTGAAACCTATAGCCTATAGCATCATATAGCAATGCTTATAGCATCTATAGCACTGAAACATTGCAACATTGGGGAGATCATCTCGCACCATCTATGCCGCGCCGGTGCCAACATTTTGTTGAGCTAAGGCAGCTAAGGTCCAGGCAGAAGCAGCATCTACTACTGTCCTGGAGAAAGATCTGCAGCGATCTGCGTGCTTTCCCACTTCACAATCACCAAGGGTGCAACGCCACATACCAAAGAGTAAGGGAGTTCCAAAATCTAAATGAGATCAATGATCAATCCTACAGCCATCAACCGACATATCAACAAAAATCTTGTGCTGGCAGCGTCTGGACACCGTAGCAGCCCTAGCGAATCAGACGTCGGACAATCCACTAAGTCACTAAGTAGTCACTAATCATCACCAGTCCATGGTGATCTCCTTGGCGTACCCCAGTAGTTTCTGCCGGAGGCCACAATATCCAGCAAAGAGCCGGGAACCTTAGTCGAATTTAGTCGATGTTGCAGCTGCAAAGGAATCAAGTTGAATCAAGTTACCAAAATGAAAGCAGCTTCCAAGCACCCTCAATGACTTTTGTTTGTTCACCCAAGCAGGCTTCTCGGGAGCCAAGGATACCAATTCTCCTGGGCTTCCAGCACGACTATGTCTAAGATGGCATGCTTGAGGCCCAGCAGGAGACAAGAGAATACCTCCAAAATCTCCAAATCAAAGCACGATTTTCAACTTGGGATATCTTGTGATCCACAAGCACAACAAATTGCAGCAAATCAAGCCGAATCTGATTAGCTCTCAAGCCTTGCCATGCTATATGCGGGGGGTTAGAGGAATAAGGCTGCAAAACATCGGTAGCCCGGCAGCCATTACGAGGCATTTACGATCCCCATGTTGACAAACGCTGCTTGGAATGCGCCTGAATTCTCAATGCTGGGCCTGGCACTTGCCATTCACTGATGACAATATGGGTTGTCTTGAACGCGTTGTGACCTCCTCTTCGTTTTGACAGTTTCTCTTGATTTCCAAAAGCGAAACATCCCTAGCTGAAATTGCTGCCAGGACAGACTGGGATTTGCAATCCAAGTTGCAACAATCCAATATCAACTCCTAAAACCTAAGCTTAATATAGCTTAATATAGCTTAAATTAATATAGCTTAATTAATATAGCTTAATCAGTCTCCCCTGGAGGCCGCAACTGGGCCTCTTGGGAGTTGTCATCCGCAGCTGTGCCTCGGTGTCATGCCATGCATGCCATATCCATGACGCCCGTCCCAAATCATTGGTGCCCTGAGAAATCGGCAGTCATCTGCCGCGCGCGCTCGATGTTTGCCTTCACAAGCTCCTGAAGATCGATAGAACCACAGTTTCGGCAGTGTAGGAAATTAAGCTGGCATGATCTGGCATGATGATCTTGATATCTGATACATCCTCATGTCTCTACTGTCTCTAGCTTTATGTGCAACCTATGGTGCACAAAGGTTGTCGCACCTCGTTGACCTTGTCGCCACTGCGGCGGCAGCAGCTCAACACCTGGAGCCAGGGAGGTTCGTTGGGTGGGTTGAGAAAATGATTTTTTTATTGATGTCTTGATTTGCTTATCATACTATGTCATTTGTCCATTTAGTTCTTGAGCTAAAAAAGGACAGGCACTTGTGAAGGGTCTGACACTATTCTGAAGGCGGCTCGCAGATTTATGCAAAGGATGTGTTTTCTGCAGGAGCGATATCTTTCGCAACAAACCTTTGATCTGCACTGAACAAAATAAGAAGCGGACAGACTATATGTCCAAGCAGTTCTCAGCTTTCTGAGGGATCCAAAGCCGAAGTTGTCACACAAATGAATCTTGAAGCACAGCCAGTATGATTTTAGGTCGGTTTAGCCAACAAAAACTCTCCTCAGGTGTCAAAGCGAGCTCGGCGAGCTCAAGCAAAGTAGACATTCGCACCCCGGGCGTTCAATTCCATTTTGTAGGCCTCGCTGGCAAAATAGTTTTTTAGCGTCGGCAAGGTCTTGAAGGCCTCATAGAAGGCCTTGCACTTGGGGAACTCAGCGAAAATGTCAGGTCCTCCGATAAATTCAGACAGCATTCTGTGCTGGTCCAACATCTCCCAAATATGGAAGTCGGCCACACCAGGGCCGTCTTTCAGGACAAACCACTTGCCACCACTGAGGTTGTCCTTGAAGGCCAGCAGACTTTCAAACTTTGCGAAGGGTGCTTTGCCCACTATTTCTTTTGCTTTGGCATCGAACTCTGCTTGGTTTCTCACCGCATTCTTGTGAGGGTAGGACAAATAGATCATGCCGTTGCGGACGTCGTAGATCTCACACAACAACTCCTGTGTTCGAATCTTCTGCGCTTCAGTGGTGCCATTCATGCCATATTTGTCCCCCAAATAGTTGAGGATGGCATTCGTCTGGCAAATGCAGTTGTCGCCATCGACCAGGTATGGCAAGTTTGCCAAAGGGTTCATGGCCAAAATGGCTGGTTTTCGATCCTTGAACCAATCCTCACCAGTGGAGTACTGTTTGTCGACATACTTGGCCTCCTTGTACTCCAGAATCATGCGGAAGGGCGCACCCAAACCTCGGATCTTCCAATAGCCAAATTCCATGAGCACTGGGCGCGGAATGGCGCGGACCAGAGAATCCGGAGTGACTAGGCCATTTGACACTGCCGGGATTGGCAGCCAGCTGAGCCAAGGAGCAAATCCGATCTATCCAGAATCTCTTGAAAACTCATCTCGACTCATAAGTCATACGAGTTAAGTCGTCATAAGTCTTACAAATGTTATAGCAGCACAGGGAGGCACCTCTCGAGCATGGCACAGACCATCTTCCAGGTCGCCACGGGTGAAGTAGCCGTTGGCCAGCGCAAAGTGTGCAGAACTGGCAGCTCAGAGAACATCCATATGGCCCATGATCTATGTACGCTTGACATGACGCGACTACAGCTACACAGCATCTTCTCCTTTCAAGTCCTTTCATGTCCTTTTCCTTCAAAGTCGTTTGAGTCTCCAAGAGTTGCAGTTTTGAGAGTGCTGCTATGTGCTGCTTGCTGTCTTAAGACTCTCGCTACAATCCAACGAAGTCATCAGACTCCTTGTAGATTCCCAAGGCGGCCTGCCACACCAGATGAATTATTTGCTCCCGAAGCCCGGCACATTTTTCCCAGGGTCCTTTGCCACATTTGAGACCAGTACCATCACACAACAACCAAATCAAACTTGAGAGCTCAAATACACCAAAATAGTCATGAAAGATATGAAAGCTGAAATTATGCCTGTCATCTCAAAGTAACTCAACGGATTCCAATCTCCTAATCTCCTGTCCGCTCTAAGAAAGCTCTGTTCGATGGATCACGTGTCAACTCGTAAACCCAGACACAGCCCTTCCGAACAGTCAGGGATGGTGAGGGCATTCCCCACCTGCAGGTAGCGCATCCCTTCAGCACTTGCTTGGTTTTCAGCCAGCAAAGCTTGGCCCAGGACCTTGGGCAACTTGGACGCTGAATGATGCTGCTTCCTTTCAAGTTTGCATCACAGAGACAACCTAGCAGGACCTAGCAGGACCTAGCAAATTGCTGCTAGTCAATAGTTTGCGCTCTGTATTCTCAACAAACAAGTCATGTAGCTGCAAACTTTGAACTTTCCACGTAGCATGTGCCACAAGGATTGAAGCAACGTTGCGTACTGTAAAGGTCCCAAAACAGTTCAGAAAACATCTTTCCAGGTGTGGCGAGCTACAAAGCCACAATTCCCGCAATGCCTACGCTTTCAGTTCAGAAATCTCGAGCCCAAGATCCCATCATCCCTCTACGACAAGACACCACCATGGCTGATGCTTGTCCAGCAGAGTGCTTCCTGAAAATGTTCACAGAGGTCACTGCAAGCGCTCTAAGCCACACAGTTCCAGAACCTAAATCACCAAACCATCAGCAAAGTGTTCACGCTCTCCCTCCCCTTATACCTTAACTTATTCAGTTATTCCTGTGTTATTAGGCAAGTCGTTGAGCTGTTTAGCAAGACTTGCTTACGCAAGACTTACTTACAAAGCGTTTTGAATTGTGGGAGCTGATCTTCCTTGCAATAGAAACAGCTCTGATCGAAGACACCGCCACTCCACTCTCTGGCGGTGGGCCTTTCAACACATCTGGCCAGCTGCTCTTTGGACCTCTTGATGGCACCCACTTTGTCACCCCTGGCAGGCCGACCACGTTGGCACCATAGAAAAAGAGCCAAAGAAAATAACTATATATATATATAAGTTGTTTTTCTCCCCAGCGGTTCGTGTTGAGTCTCAGCAAAGTCAAGATCTGGCACCTGCGCAACAGGATCTCTGCCACATTGGAGGTGGCTTGGGCTTCCTTCTCAATGTCGTCAGCTTCCTTTGCCTGCCGGTTTCAAGCGAGACATCAGAGCAGCAGCATTCCTAGACCACTGCTCCACCTGTCCTACTGTCCAAGCTCTGTTTACGCGGGATGGCATGCCATCCTCTGGTAGAAATCTTTTTGTGGGCACATGGAACCCAGTCTTGGATACATGACCATCCCATCATACTTTGATTCCACCTTCATCTCAGCCATCTCCGCATACTTCAGAGCTTCAGCTTCGTTCTGTGAAGACAAACAAGCCGAGACCAAGCGTAGCAAAGCAGCCGCCTGGGGAGGTATAGAGAAAGACTGTTGGGGTCAGGCGATGATGTCTTCCAAACTGCAAATTCAACATCTAGGAAACAGGAGGATTGGCCAACAGTACAAGTTCCTGTAAAAGTAGTTAGAAAGACTTCTTAAAGAAGCTCTAAAACAATCTAAAACAGGTTTCTAACAGCCAACCTGGTGGTCAGCTCTAAAACGTGGTTTCAGCTGGCCTCCTTGGATTTGTTGCCACTGGCCTGAGGGACAAGGGACATTAGAACACCAGACTTGTTCCAAGCTGAACTGTAGATCAGAATATCATGGAATATCGAAATATACCTAATATATGATATATATATATATATGATTATATTATTATATGATTGTAAATTATATATTATATGTATGTATCAGAGATAAACTAGAACTTAGAAATGAAATCAACCAAAGCATGCTTTCGTGCATTCATCACAATTAGCTGCCTGCGTGACAGCTAGGGCTTCTTGTCCAGTGGCCAACGCGGAGTCACCCTGAGGCGGGTCAAATGGAGCCCCCAGCTCATATGGACTCCATCAACATGCATGAAACAGCTCAGCAGCAGGAAGTTTGTCCTGTGATGGACAGTGATGTCTTCACACTGAACGAATGCCGAAGGCCAATCCGACGGACGAGTGGCTTTCTGTGAGCTCAGCTGCAACTCGGAGATGATCTGCAAGCATTCAAGCTCGCCATCCTGATCCAGGGACATTGTCACAAACCACAGAAAAGGCCAGAGTGGAAACCGTCAACTGAACACAGCTGGACAATGTTTGTTTTGCATCTAGTACTTGCAAAAGAAACGTGTTTTCCTAAAGGCCCAAAGGTCTGGTTTGATTTTGTTTCAAGCCCTCTTCAAATTCTTCACGGTTGAGCGCCCTATGTTGGCTTGCACTCAGCCACAAAGCAGGAGACCGCAGGGTCTCGGAGGCTGGGGATCAAGGAGACTGAACCGAACATTGTCAACCCATCACCCACCCATCTCAACCCTGTAACCCGGTAATCATCTTGGTATCTCAGCATATCTCAGCTGTCGCCTGGTTCTTGCCTTCTTGCATGAAGCTTCTGGCTTTCTGCATGGACTCAATGGCGCTGCTAACGCCTCAGCGACTCATCTGCAAATGAACAGGTGCTTTTTCAATCCACCCAAAACTGATGTACATGTTTCATAGTGTTTAATCGTTCTTAAAACTTAGGTGCTCTCTTCCGTTGGGGAACTCATCAAAATGCACTGCATGCTGAGTGGGCTCTGCTAGTCCCCGGCCTTTGCTGCCACCCATGGCCGCATAGATCTGCGACTGCGCGTAGCAAATGTTGGCCTGCTGACATTGTGCTCATCAAAATTCCGAACTATTCTGAACTATTCTGAAGTATTCTGAACTATTCTGAACTTACGTGGCTTAGGTCATCTGGTCACTCAGCACCTGGACCCCCGCAATGCCTTCTCCACTGCGGTCCCGATGAGTGCTTTTTCCAAAGCCTAGAGTGTCAAGCCCACAGCCCGCTCGAGTGCAGGATACTAGCTAAGCCCCACATTGTCACCTGCAATAGTGGTATACCTCGAAATCAGTAGGAACATAGCTGCCATAGGGTGCAGGCGCAAGCTGCCGTAGTAGAACCATAATTAGTCGTTGATTTGTATCGATCCATGACCCAGTCATCTTCTCTTCATCCAAACTCACATTTAAAAGCCGCTTGTCAACATATGTCAACATTGACGCCGTGGCCCCGGCTGTGAGGGCGTCATTGAACTTTTGCTGCCTCAATCGAGAATTCAGCAAAGACAAATGCATCCCCAGAACAAGAACGTAGTTTCACCTTTTTGAAGGCGTAGAACCACAAGCACAAAAAATGGAATGACGTCTTTGTCACCGATCATGAGAAGACTCATCCCCCCCGGCGGACACCAAAGTGTCCCTTTCTTCACAGCAGAGCGGCGACAGGTACAGCACCGCCAATGAGCGAAGAGACTTCACCTGCCCTGCCTGGCCAATTGGGGCATAGGGTATCCACAAGTGTAAGTTATTCCAACCATTCCAGGAAAGTACTTCAATATATTCAATCACAAACAAAGTTTCAGCCGTGCCTGGTCACCCAAGCTGGAGAATCCAGCCACAGCCTACAGGAGCAATACTGGCAGGGGCTCAAATGTGTGCCGCAGGCTCCTACAGTATTCAGTAGCTCATGCAACAGAGGTTGTCCGAACAGAGACAGGCAAAAAATGGCAAAAGATCATTGGGATGATTTCGGAAAATAAAATCCTTGAGTCTAGTTGAGCATCTGCAGAATTCTGAACCCATTCGACAACGGGCCTCTTCAACCAGCGTTCTGGCACCCTCCATAGCACCCATGGAATAAAACACTGCCGCCACTCGGAGCAGGCACGGTGCCTCCTGGACCCATGCAAGGCTTTGTTGCAACCAGATGATGAATTCATCCTGAATTATGAAACATTCTTGTCCTCATCCTCATCTTGTGACCATCAGGCTCACCCCATTCCCACCAACCCCACCGACAACAGTTTGGAAACAAGGACAACAACACCAAACATGCAAACATTCATGTGCTCACCCAGTAGCAAGAGTACCGACAGCAGAGAACAGCAAAACAGCAAATGCAACCTAAAGAATCTTATTGTCGTTGTCAGTTTCATGGTCCCCTCAACTCAGATCTGCTTTCACCTTCTGGCTTGTGAAACCAAAATCAAGGGGACATGCAGAGCAAGGTCCTTCCCTGTTTGCATGTTTGTGTGTGTGCGCACGTGTGACAAGGTGCATGTCTTCCATATCTTCCATGCAATAACTGATGGCTCTCACCGTCCCACCTCTTTCTTGCTAGAGCGGACACGATCACGAATTTCCTCCTCAGTTTTTGCTGCCTTGGAGCAAACATGCAAATTGCCGGTCCGAAGTCTTGAGGCAAATGAATCTCCCCAAAGTTCGGCGGGGTTGCAGGTACAAAACTAGAAAAGTGGTCTCTCCTCAAAATCCAAATCATACGCCATGAGGGACACAGGTCAAAAAATCATAGAAATGTCAGCGCGCGCTTAAATCATCAAACAAAAACAAAATGCAATCATGTCCTTATACAAGTTTCTTGCCACACCAAAATCTCAAAACCTTGCTGTACAAGAATGGGAGTCCACATACCAACATACTCTCCCAACCCATGTAGGACCAAACACTCGATACAACCAAAGAATGGATTTGCAAGGCACCCACCCGTCTCTGACTTTTTGCATAGGAAAGTTCTGAGGGGATTCGAGCAATGCGAGCATGTCGTTGCGCTTTCTCTCTAGGTTTGGGAGGCAGTGTCTGGCAGTGTCTGGAGTCAAAAGATTGCCTCTACGTGTTTTTAGTTGGGAGATGTGGGCCCAAACATCTCGATGTATTAACTTTCACTGCTTCTTTTGGTCGGACAAGACCTGTGTCCACTCATTCCTATTCGGCACCAATCAGAATCAGCAGACTCAAAGCTGAGATCACCACTGCATCCCGTTGGGAGTTTGCAAGGTGAAACTCCAAGATGTCCTGTGGAGGTGTATGGGAACCAGCGGCCTGGTCCAAGTTGCCTTACAGGTGAGGACCAACAAAACCCACCTGGTGAGGTGCCGGGAATACCATGGAAATCCATGGAATACATGTATAAAACAGTGGGCTGAAGGATTTGCCGATAAGATTCATAAGCACGCTTAAAAATGGTCGACATCGACCTTTCAACTGAATGCCATGCCATGGAAGTCTCCCATGTAGCAGGATCATTCCAACTTGACTCATAACTCATAGCCGCCATAGCCCTTGTCCTTCATTACATCTTCCTCTTCCATGACATCCCCGGCCTCTCACGTGGATCAAGTACATCTTGAAAGCACTACAGTAGGATGCTGTCGGGATTTGCCAGTCAGTCCGAGACTCACTTTTAGCAAACGTGGAATGCTGAGAGCTGGAAAGATTGGTGTGCTGCGTGCTATTCCAGAGATCCACAAGTCAAACGCAAATTCTCGCATTGGATCGGGGACTGATGCACGAGGAGATCACTGACCACACTGCATGGCAAAGCAAGCGGCCGGGACCACCGGGACCACCGGGACCACCGGGACCACCGGGACCACCGGGACCACCGGGACCCAGGAGACATTTTGCGTTTCACCGTTTCGCCGTTTCGCCATGTTTCGCCTCTTTGTAGAGCGTGGAGACCTCCTTGAGGCTTGCGGGAAGCTTTTCGATTGCCTTGGTGTTCTTATCAT